CTACACGCGATTACAAGCCCCCACTCCACGTTCTAAACGATAGAAATCACGAAGCGTCGACACGAGGAGGGCCGATTGGTATAGAACATAACGCTCAGAACCCAGTTGCGAAAGAACCGCGAACCAAGACATGCGTACGCATCCAAGACGAGCTGGGTGCAAGTGGAAATGGGGGATAAGCTGGATTTAGGGGGAGTTTGCGGGTAAAGAAGAAGGGGACGAACGAGTGGGCGTGTGTATGAACCATTTTCGGTGAATCGATCTCTAGATGAAAATAAGCAACCGCAAAGATCATTGACGATGATTTTGAAACGCACCTTGCCTGTTAGAATATTGCATGAGTTTTCGTAACGACTTTCTGACATACAACTGCTTAAACCATTTACTTCACATATATATATGTATATATATGTGTATATATATATATATATGTATGTATGTATATATTCAACCCCATGTATTCACAACGGTGTTGAGACGCGCGCACTAACGCTACCGACACAGCATCCGTGGCTGCGCGCACTGCGGACAGCGAATACACTTTCTTATGTTTTCTGACTGAAACGTATATTCGTAAGGGAAAAGAATAACGGCCAGTGTATCGATACGTCTTGTGTATAGATGTCGTTGAATAATACGAACGAATTAAAGTAATATAGTTTTGTTGGTTATTCGATTCGTTGCATTTGTGTTTATCACTGAAAATATAAACCAACTAACCATAGCTGATCATTGATGTTTATATAAATATATTATTAACGTTACGCTAGAATTTTACCATATCATTTCTATTCGATGAAAAGCGAAAATAGAATAAAGAATGGGAAAATGATATTCGACTTTTGAAATGGCTTTGTAAACGAGAAAGGATTGTTCGAAGACTTACCCTTGTCAAAAGTTTCTTTGGCCGCATGTATGACCTTCCTCCGTCTAAGACCGTCGCCCGCGAGGACGGTCGTCATCGTGCTGGAAACGTTGTCCGTTGTTCTCTCATCTTCGTCACTGTTCGCGCACTCGCCGGAGGTGGTCGATGCACGGTGGTCGAGGAGATTGATCGGGGACCCCTCGCCGCCTGGCATAGTGTCCCGATTAACAGGACCGTCGCGTCCTTAACCGAGGACCTTTGCGCCTGAACTGAACTCGCTCCCTCTATGCAACCTCTACTGGTTTCTCTTCGTTCGCAAACTCTCTTCGCCCTTCGTCGCCGCTGCAGCGTTTTGTGGCGCTGGCCGCGTCGTGGCGCCACTTTCGCGGCTTATTGTCGTCGAACAATTTTCTCAAGTTATTTGCAATCCTTTTTTCGTTAGTGAAAACTAAACATTGTGAAGTATTATTTAATCGTTAATAAAAAAATAAATGTAAAATTGTGTAAGTGATTGATCGAAGAAGTTGATTGGAATAATATGAATTTGCAATCATGATGGTAAGTTGAGTTCAATTTATTTATAAATAAAATAGATAAGTCTAAAAGAGACGCAACGATAAAAATGGTTAAAATCACGTGTGTAGTTAGGTTAAGTTTTTTGGCGGTTCTTATTTTTTATTGATAAATTAATAATCATTATTGTTTGTTGATCAATTCGATTACTTTATGGATCTTCAAATTCTATATTTGATGAAAATATCGATTAATCAATCAATCATAAATTGTATGAATCTTCTTGAAAACATTTAAGTGATAACTTCACTTATGATATTTAACAATAGAGTTTTATTACTTTCTATCTTGTGCATATTAAAATAAAATTATAATTTTATTTCTTTTTTTAGAAAAATTTATTATAGCACAAGATATTTTTCATAAGATAAAGTATTAAAATTCATGAACAAATATTATCGTTTATCCTAGGATCTAATAAATATATCAATCTTATTAATCTTTTTATCATTTTCATAATTAAACGTAAATAAATATCGCTTGAAAAAAACAATAAAATAAATTGAAAATTCAACTTCACAGTTGATTATATGAAGTTGAAATATAAATTCATTCGTATGAAAATTACTTTTTAAATATACATTGCCCTCGATAGTATAAATCTCGATAATTTATAATTAATATTCATTTTTTCTCTAAATAAGAAAATATTTCCGCTATCTGTAGCGAACTTCAAATACGACTCGCGATCGATCCGATGTTACGCCATTCCTCGCTGAAATATATATTCACTGCGATTCGTGCTACTTTTTTTTTTCCTTTTCCTGTCGTTTTCCACGCCATGTGACACCACCGGAAACTCGAGTATTTTTGCCACATGAAAATTAGGTTAAGGATTCGGTTGACATTCACGCCTGGTGCAAAACTTTTCTTTCCTATATATTCTGAATATTTAGTAGTCTGTAATTTTATAAGGATTTCAAGAAATCTTATAAAATATTTATATAAAAAAAAAAATAAATAAATAAAATAAAATTCATTAGAAAATATTTATTTTTTTCTTTATATTTTTTTACTTTATATTAAGTAATAAAAAGTCTAATAACTAGCTTTTAAATAAATAATATTGTAATGCAAAATATGTGAATATAATCAATATCAAAAATTGATTGATCATGGCACGACATAACTTCACACGCGTTCTAAGAATCGAATATCAATATTTCGATTTTCGTGAAATCGTTCATAGTGCGAAATTAGAATCTGTGATGTGGAAAATTGACTTTTTCGCAGGTGTCAAGGACACGTTCTAAATTCAAACCATCTATCTATTTCGAAACATCGTCGAGTTGATTATTTCCTATTTCCGGAATCGAAATGACTATCAAATGTGACAGTGTCGGTCTCGCAGATATCATCAGGAATCGATAACACGGTCTCCAATTGAATGCAGATAGGAAAGCGTAGCTATTGGAAAATGATCGTAATGTGACTTCTGGTACGCTTTGATAATTTTCTTCGCTGAATATGATGGCTCTCAAGAGTAAGTTAATGCATCGATAAACAAGCCTGGGATGAGATAGAATTCTAAAGATGATCGAATATCTGTCATAGAATTAATTTGATTGATTTTTACCGTTATATCGACAATATTTCAAATATCATTTACTACATCGAATTTTCTTTTTATATATGTCGCATGACATTATAATATATTATTATATATTATTATCATTCTATAAATCAAAATTTACTGATTATATAATATATAATTATATAAAATGATATGAGTTTTAAAATTAATTTCTTATCGAAAAAGTTATTAAAAATTTGTTAAAGAGAGTGATATTATTTATAAAAGAAATTTTATCTAATATATTTTTAATATAATTATATAAATTGTCTTTAAATTAATAATCTAACTTAAAAAAAAACATAATATTAAAATACTTACGGAAGTACAAAGATTTTAAACTTTTTTTTTCTTTTTTAAATAATCAGATTAAGCTTTATTAATGAAAGATTATTAATAAGAATTATTAATATTTTCATAATAAGAATCGATAAGGATTAAACTCGTGGCCAATTCAATCGTTGTTAGAATTTTTTCAAAGAAAAGCAATGGAAGATTAATTAAAAGAGATATAACCAGGCTAATGAACTGTATTGAACTTTGGTCCTGGCAGTTTGTTGGTTCAATTTAACACGGAGGAGGCGAGAACAGCTCAGAAGTTGTCCGTCTATCCTTTTGAAAGGATAATGTATATGGTTTCCCAATGCCACTGTTGAATTCGTGTAACTACAATGAGAGAAATGTTTATTCTTGGCACTGTTTTCCAACAAACGATTTAATTCCTTTGGCTGCAACAACGATTTCTCAGACATCTTTTTCTTTTATACTTTCAATCAGAATCAAATTTTATTTTATCTGCCTTCTACGTTATATCTACGTAATATAACTACTGAATTTTTTTATTAATTTTTATATTTAAATTATCTTTCTGCGTTTGATTGTGGGTTTAATTAAAATTGAGAGATTTTGAATTTTTGTATGAAAGAAAAAGAATTTTGAAAAATATTATTATTCGCCATATAGTTCTTATATAAAATAATTGTTTATTGAAAAAATATGAATTTTTAAATTAATTAAATTTTGAATTTATTTTTCTTTATATTTCCCCTTTATATTTTCTATGAAAAAAAAAAAAACATTGAAAGAAAACTTTTTTTTATCAATCTTCATAATTTATATTAATTTTTGAAAAAGGAATTTTCCAATTTTTAAATTTAAATTAATCACAATATAACGTTGAGCATTAAACGAGATATCTTGCCTTTGAAGCTAAATATATAATCTTTTCTTATAATATATTAAAATAATTACGAGATAACGTGTATAACGAGAACTAATTTTACTCAGATCTCGAGAGTTTCCAACGATTTATAAAGATGATCGTTAATGCGGTTTAATTCAACCGCAAGAAGACGAGGAACTTGTGTTGGGTTGCGTGTGAACGAGACTTTTTTTACTTTTATCTTGTTTTTATTAAAATACTTAAACGCTTAACTTACACGTATACCAACGGCTGGCAGAAAAATTAAGTTAAATAGACTTATCATTTCTATCATTTCTCTTTTTCTACTCGTTTTAAAGTGATCGAAACATTAAGTAGGCCCCTGGTTCTCGTTCGAACCGAGCCAAAGGAGTGAGAAAATCCTTTGGCGATCCTTTTTCATCACGATTAATTCGTCGATCATGATCGATCGTTCTTATCAACGTTAACTATAGTACACTACTTCTTTTTCTTACCACTTCTTACTTCGATTCTCTTAATTCGCGTTGATATAATTCACATAGATCGACAAAATAAATATCTCTCCATTACTTAAACTTCAAAATTCTCTCTTTACAACATCTTAAAAATTTCTTTCTTTCGGAGAAGCATTGGAAGGAAAATATCTTAATAAAATAAATAAATCACGGATCAACGAGGCCCACTCTACAATTTCTATATATATATATATATATACAAATAATTCAGATCGAAGAGAATGACGGACGCGTTTTTTATCCTGTTTATCAAAAAAAAAAAAAAAAAAAAAGAACCATCTTCAGTTCCCTTCATCTGAATCGATCATCTCGACTTGGCCTCGTCATCACGCATCGGCCCCTGTAGCAAATCTCCGTCATATGGGAGACCTTGGTGGTCGTCGAGGTGCGTAGAACCTTGCCCAATATCGATTCCGTCGAATTGCTCGATAAAGTGGGGCTGCTGCTCGGCTTGAAAGTGGTGGAGAAAGGAGGAACGGTGGCCGAATTATTCTCGGCCGACGTACTCGTCGTTGCCTCGTCCGAGATCGTCGTCGTTGCGTTCTCCACCTCGGTATTCGCGGTCGCCTCGTTTCCATCAACCTCCTCAAAGATCATCCGAGTAGTCGTCATCTTCGTCGTCTCGTAATCGTCCTTCATCGTTAATCTCTCCTCGTTCGATCGGTCTGGGAGGTGCAACGTGTTCGAAGGAGGGAGGACGGTGGTGGTCACTTCGTCGTCCATATTCTCCGTGTTGGTAGCCGTGCTCGTCTCCTCCTCGGCGCTCTTCATCGTATCGAAGATCGCCTGGACGTAATCGGAGAGCGTCTTCACGCTGGTGTCCCCCTCGTTCCTCGTCACCAATCCTGGGATAGACGTTGTTCCGGATTTTCCACCTATCTTCCCAGAATCGTGCTTCCAGTTGAGGGAAGGTTTCGACTGCTCGAAGACGGCAGACGGATACCTTACCTCGCTCCATTTAACTCTATGATTCTTGGGATGATTGAAATTCTCGTTTTTTACCTCCTCGTTTTGCCGTTTCAAGAACTCTCCTCCACGATCCTCTTCTCCGGTCTCGTTCGCGGATTCTACTATATCGTTCTTTCTTTTCGCCTCCTTTTCATTAACAGTTAATTTCTCAACCCCTTCTGTGAGTGTATCGTTCGTATCCTTCTCTCTGTTGGTTTTATATTTACCAACGATGTGACCGAAGTTAACAGTGTTTTGAACGTTCTTCTGGTTCCATTTCTTCGACGATTCCCACGTTTCTTGCTCCATTTCTCCCTCAACGTCCTTCTTCCTCTCCGATTTCTCCTTCTTCTCCTCCTTCATCTTCCCCGTGTCTTGCGGCCTTTTGACCAATTTTACGAATAAATCATCGAAAGGTGCCTCCGCGATCGTTGTCTCCTCGATCTTGGTTGGGATCGTGGTGGTCTGAGTCTCTGTCGTTTCTTCGTCTTCGATCGACATAGGAGGGGTGGTTGTGGTGGTGGTTGTTGTGGTGGTGGTCATGGCCGGATGCACGGTCCACGCCGCTTCGGTGGGCTCGTCGTTCTTCAGAATGTCGGTTATGAAACCTTGCAGGATGGATTTCTCCGGCGAGGCGAAAGACACCGAGGGTTTCGATTGACGGACAGGATTGTACTTGTACTGATCACGAAACAAGCCGTTAAGGGCGGAGTTGAAGTGTTGGGACTCGGCTGTGACAAAATCGTCGGCGGCCGGTCTGACTCGAACGCGGACTTTCCTCCTCCGTGGAATCTGGAACGAAGGAAACAATCGTACTCGTTTATTCATTCGAGATCATTAGAATTTTTCTCAATTTTTTCCCTATCTATCTGTCTATACAGTATCAAAAATATATATATATGTGTATCAAAAAAAATATATATGTATCAAAAATATATATGTATCAAAAAAAATAGTATCGAAAATTGATAAAGTTTCAAAGCGTAAATAATTTAGATTGCATAATTTTTTTTTAAATAAATCGCACGATTAGTAAGCAAAAAATAATACCGCATACCCTTTCGTTTAATAAAAGACGATTTCCAACCGCAACTGCTCATACCGATATTAATATCCCCGTATCCTCTCCCCATAACCAACCTCTCACACTAATATTAAACTTCCCTTCTCCGTACCTTTAACGATCTCCGATAACTCCTCATACCTATAAACCGTCTTCAGAAAAATTACGTTATCTTCTCCAAAAGGAAAAAGTAAATAAATAAATAAACAAATAAAAGCATCTTTACAAATTCCACAACTTCCAATTATCCAATTATCGTATTACGTATAATTATATTCTAATCTCGCCACCTTCGCGGTAGAATTGTCGCCCTTCCATCCAATCTTCTCCAAAAGGAAAAAGTAAATAAAGAAATAAATAAACAAAAAATATCTTTACAACTTCTAATTATCCAATTACGTATAATTATATTCTAATCTCTCTTCTTCGCGGTAGAATTGTTGCTCTTCCATCCAATCTTCTCCAAAAGGAAAAAATAAATAAATAAATAAATAAATAAATAAAAGCATCTTTACAACTTTTAATTATTCAATTATGTAATTATATTCTAATCTCATCACCTTCTTCGCGATAGAATTATTCTTCCATCCAATCTTCTCCAAAAGGAAAAAAAGTAAATAAATAAATAAATAAAAGCATCTTTACAACTTCCAATTACGTATAATTATATTCTAATCTCGTCACCTTCGCGATAGAATTATTCTTCCATCCAATCTTCTCCAAAAGAAAAAAGTAAATAAAGAAATAAATAAACAAAAAGTATCTTTACAACTTCCAATTATCCAATTACGTATAATTATAATATTCTAATCTCGTCACTTTCTTCGCGATAGAATTATTCTTCCATCCAATCTTCTTCAAAAGGAAAAAGTAAATAAATAAACAAAAAGCATCTTTACAACTTCTAATTATCCAATTATGTATAATTATATTCTAATCTCATCACCTTCTTCACGATAGAATTACTCTTCCATCCAATCTTCTCCAAAAGGAAAAAGTAAATAAATAAATAAATAAATAAAAGCATCTTTACAACTTCCAATTATCCAGTTACGTATAATTATATTGTAATCTCTCTTCTTCGCGGTAGAATTACTCTTCCATCTAATCTTCTCCAAAAAGAAAAAGTAAATAAATAAATAAATAAACAAAAAGCATCTTTACAACTTCTAATTACGTATAATTATATTCTAATCTCGTCACCTTCTTTGTGATAGAATTACTCTTCCATCTAATCTTCTCCAAAAGGAAAAAGTAAATAAATAAATAAATAAATAAAAGCATCTTTACAACTTTTAATTATCCAATTATGTAATTATATTCTAATCTCGTCACTTTCTTCGCGATAGAATTATTCTTCCATCCAATCTTCTCCAAAAGGAAAAAGTAAATAAATAAACAAAAAGCATCTTTACAACTTCTAATTATCCAATTACGTATAATTATATTCTAATCTCATCACTTTCTTCGCAATAGAATTATTCTTCCATCCAATCTTCTTCAAAAGGAAAAAAAGTAAATAAATAAATAAATAAATAAATAAAAGCATCTTTACAACTTCCAATTACGTATAATTATATTCTAATCTCGTCACCTTCTTCGTGATAGAATTACTCTTCCATCCAATCTTCTCCAAAAGGAAAAAGTAAATAAATAAATAAATAAATAAAAGCATCTTTACAACTTCCAATTATCCAATTACGTATAATTATATTTTAATCTCGTCACCTTCGCGATAGAATTATTCTTCCATCCAATCTTCTCCAAAAGGAAAAAAAGTAAATAAATAAATAACCAAATAAAAGCATCTTTACAAATTCTTCCAATTATCCAATTATCGTATTAAACTTGTCTGTGAGCATTGTATAATTATATTCTAATCTCGTCACCTTTTTCGCACCGGTAGAATTGTCGCTCTTCCATCCAATCTTGTGCAAATCCGTGGCCATCATCAATTGCTTCGTAGAACTCTCCACCTCGCCTGCCATCGTCTCCTTGCCACCAACCTCGCTTCCGTTTCTTTTTTCTTTAATCGCCGACGCACCGTCGGTGATGGCCGTCACCCTCGCGTTTATCCTCTCCGTGTGATCCTGCGTTTTCATACCGAACATCGTGGTGCCCATCAACGTGGACTCGTCCTCCTCCTCCTCCCCCTTCTCCTCTTTCCCCTCCTCCTCCTTCATCCTCTTGTCGTCCGAGGAGACGATCAACGTGACGGACGACACTTCCGGCGGAGCGGTGATTATATCCGGCAGATCGGCGTTTTTCGAGGAGTCGTCGTTGGACGACCAGGCATGGCCACCCTTCGAGGCCACCCCCGAATTCACTTGATTCGACGAGAAACTCGGCTGGAACGAGGTCCTCGTCAGTTTCGTGGACCACTGGCTCTCTGCCCCGTAGATGTCCACCGTTGTCCGACGATTGTCGATGGCCGCCGACGTGCTTGTCCTTGAAGCTTGGCTCGAGTATTTCCTTGGCGCGTCGCTGGCCAACTGCGCCTGATCGTATTCGTCACGTTGAACTGGTTGGGACGGGTAGTTACCGAAGTTCAGCATGAATTCTGCCGGGTACTGCAATTTGCGATAAGTTTTAATTAGGTGGAAGTTTAAAGCTGTGCGGGAGATATTGTTATACGAGTCAGAATTACATATCTTAAGATAAGAGTTTTGGTTTTCTTTGAAAATGGAAAAGAAATCGATTATTTTTTTATCTGGATCACTAGATGGGAAACTTTGTGCGCTGCAAGAAAAAAAATTATGTCTTGGATTATAATATTCAATACTTTTTGTTTGTAAAAGTAATGAATTTCTTCTTCTATCTCTCTAATATGTGTATAAGAATTATTCAATTTCGAAAAAAATTTTTAGAGATATTGAAATTTTGATCTTGGTGTAATCTGATTGATTACAATATTTTTCAGTTTTTGCTTTTCTTTTCAAATTTGTCGAAAGAAAGTATTTTTAATTTTCTATCTAAATCGATCGTTGTTTGTTGCTTTCTTCTTTTAAGAGCGTAATCTTGTCTGTGAGCATTGTATATATTTGAAAGGAACGAGTTTTCTTTAACGGCAAGAACTGTGTACCGAGGAAGAAGTAGAGTTTTTAACGAGAATTGCTAGAATTTGCAGTAAAATTCTATGATTTAAATTAAAAAAAGATTAAATATCGTGGACAATTTAATCGATATTGTCGTTCCAATCAAAAAAGAAAAATATAATAAATATATCATCTGTTAATTTTAAAATTTCCATTCCTGAAAATGATAAAAAAAGTAACGATAAAATTTTCATAAAAAAAATATAACGCACCGATTATTTTATCACAATCCATAAACAAACCATAGCCGATAAAAGAACTGGTAGAAGCCAGGAATTGGAGCAAGAATAGGTCAGAAACAAGAGACTGTACTGTGTGTACGAATACCAGTACAAACTGTGCTCGAATTTCTAATCATACCTCAGATCGACCCTCGTTAAGGTCCCTTCTAATCCACCTAACTATTGTTCGGTACAGTATATACAAAGTGGAACGGATATAATAGGGTCGTAAAATCAGTCAAGTGTTAAAGTAAACATGTTCCGAGTGTCGAGACAAGCGTATTCATGACAACTAATTTCAGACGACGATCTGAAATATTTAATATTTTATATCTTTTGGAATAAATATTTATATTAATAAAAAATAAATCGAACGTGCATGATTAATCAAATTTCAATTATATATATAATAAATGTATATAGAGCTCATTTTTAACTTCATATATATCTTATAAATCCTTTTGATTCGTTCACATTTTTTAATCCTTACTTTTATAAATTTTACTTTTGCTCGATTAAGTTATAAGTACATCCTCATTAAATATTCTTTTCAATTTTTTTGATTTATAACCTTATCGCATCGCTTCCAACCATAATTGGAACTTTTAGTTTTATACATCCCTTATAAATCCTTTCAATTCACATTTTTTGATTCTAACTTTTAAAAAACTTTATTCGAAATTACAAATATAACATTCTTATTAAATACCGCTTCCAATTGCTTTTTTGATTCATAACCTGATCGCATTGTCTTCAACTGTACTCACGTTCTCGCTAGAAGTCTCGTAGAATTGTTGTCCAGTTGGATTACGCGCACCATCGGAGAATTCTCCGTTGTTATTGTAATTATCGTTGTACACTGTCTGTTGATGCTCTGTGGTTACGGCTTGTGGTCGTATCGGCGGATAATTTTCGTCCAATGGCAGCTCGTTATGCGCCTCCAACACGGATTCGGTTGTGCTCGTGGTAGTTACGCGTTTTCTACCGGGTCGACGAATTCTACCTCTCACTCTGATCTCTTTCGCTTCGTCCGGCCGAGACTTCGATTTCACCGTATATATCATGTCGTCAGGAAGCACCGTGGCAACAGGTATTTTTTCGGTAGTAGTGACGGCTTCCATAGTCGTTGTAGATGGCGGCACGGTTGTCGCTTTTACCGATGGACGACGATTGGGAGTTGGTTGATACTTTTGACGATTTTTCAACAGCTGTGATTGCGGGGGACTCGATTCCAATGCGGTTTCGTCCTCGTTTAGTAGCAGTGATTGCTGAGGCACCTGAAAATGAGAGAATTTTGCTTGTTCGTTTCTTATGAGAACTTTCTTTCGTTTCGTGACAATTGCAACAATTGATGGTTAAATCTTTTTATAATACGACTTCCTCGTTTAAAAAAATTTTTTTTTTTTTCAAAATCACCTCTGGAAAATGAGGTCGATACGTGATCGGTTGCTGGAATCTATTGTCCACTGGATGTACAGGTCGGAAATTCGGTGGTCTTATAAATCCGTAATCGATGTCCTCTTCCGTTGAGCTGATCGTAGTGGTCGTGGTAGATGGCGGTGGTGTTGTTGTGGCGACTAACCTTTGCTGTTGCAACGCGTGGATCTTAATGTACTCGTTACCATCGGTCTGAACCTGTGATCCGTGACTCGGTGTACGAGATCTCGATCTACTTCTCTGTCTGCTCGATATCGTTCGAGAGGAATCGTTTACCACGTTGAAACGAACATACTCGTCCTGCGAACCTTTGTTACGAGTCTGAACCGAAGGCTCGTGATGCAAACGAGTGCCTATACGTCCTCGTACTCGTTGTCGAATTATCACAGGAGTCGTGCTTGTCGTCGGTGTGTCGGTTGTTATCTAAAATCGGAATTAATTTTTTTTACAATTTCTTCTACAGAGAAATCTTTCCAAAATCTATTAGCCAATAAATCGTCTTACATCTAGCAATGGAAGTTCCGTGGAGGAGATTGATAACTCGTAATCCTCTTGCTTATTCTCCGGCAACGGGATAAATATCGGCTGCTCGTTAGGATTACTATCGATAACACCGGTTTGAATCTTCTCGTTCTCCACGTGATGCAGATTATCTTGTCCAGTTAAACTGTATTCTGGCTGCGTCTGCGGTACGTTCACGTTGTAGACGGACGAGTAACGTTGCTCTTCCGATGTCCTCAACCTTGTTGGATCAACGGTGGTGGATATCTCATAGTCGCCGTTCTCTACTTTTCCATCCAACTGATAATCCTTCGTTCTCTCGAGTAATCTTTGATCCAACGGCTCTCCGCTTTGAGCTTGATAATTAAATCCATTCACTGGACTCTTTTCTATACCAATCTGTTCCACGGTTGATCGGTAATCTTCTTGAATCGTTTGAGGATAACTTTGACTTCTTGAATAATCTTCCGAAATTAGAGCGGAACCGTGATTCACCGTGACGTCGTGGAAAGATGGATAATTTTCGGTGGTGCTGACAGTGGTGGACGGATAATTCTCCGGGGTATAGTCGTTCAGATTCGACGACGAATCGAAGTGACGAAGATTACTCGAGTCCGGTCCCGTCTGCTGGAGGAAACCATTCGATGTCGGGGGATTCGAATCGCTGTGGGAGATGGTGTCGTACGATTGCTGCGTCTGTTTGTTCTGAACCTATTTGCACGAAATATATATATATATATATATATGAATGAATATATATATATATATATATATAATATGTTTCGATATGTAAGTCGTATATGTATAAATCGATCGAAATGCAAGTTTCAATAATATTTTATTCCACTTGACATTTACTATTTTAAAAATATCGCGACGATGTTTTTGACGTTTTATAATATCCGTGATATTAGCAAATTTTGATTGATTTATCGTTTAAAGTTTTTGAACTATAGCTACGTAAACAGTTTATAGACAATCATAAATTCACAAGATGCATGTACCTCGGATTGCTGGCTAATCTTATCTCGATTCCTATATTTCTGCGTTCTGCTCGTCGGCCTCCTATGCTCCCCGTTATATCTCACCGTAGTCTCTGGAATTTTGGATCTAGTTGGCTCGTAAGCGGATTCGTGATATTCTTCCGTAGTAGTCGTGAATCTAGATCTGGATCTGTTGTACGGTCTTCGATTTCTATCTACATTCGTTCTGCTCGATGGAGTCGTTTCGGTCGTCGTTCTCGGCCTCGTGGAAACTAGTCTGCTTCTAAAAATTACCAATCAAATTTCTCTCTTCCTCTCCTTCTCCGACCATTCGTTCAAAAATCAACCAATCGCCGCGCGCAACGCCTACCTACCTTTGTCTACTGCGAGGCCTATAAGTGGTCGTGGGTATACGTTGAGTCGTAGTGGTGGTCGTAGTTGTCGTGCTGGTAGTAGTGGTATGGAGTTTCGCCTCGCTCTTATCCAACAGTGAGTTGACCAGACCAGGGAGGTGAGGAGAGATCGCGGGCAGCTCGGCTGGCAAGCTATACTGCGTTGGCCCAACGGAATCTCTAACGTCGTTAACGTCACCGCTAGCGATTTCACCGTTGAAACTACCAGCCTGGCCGCTAGAGACCTTTTGCTCGCCATACTGTCCACCACTGTTGTATTTCTCCCTCTGCTGGGCCAACTGTTCATTAATTAACGCCAGTTGATCCGACGGGTCTTGGTGACCGACTATAGTTTCTTCTTTGAAAGCGGGCGTCGTGGAATACGAAACTTCTTCCGCGCGACTCACCGACGTTTCAACGTTGCCACTTTGCGCGGGAATCTCCGTAGTTCTCGAACCTTCGTCGATATAATACTTGTCCTTCCTCGTCGCGGTTTTCTGCTCGTCGTAGTAAGAAGTACCGATTACGGAAGCAGGTTTACCGTCGGCGTAAAATTGTCTGAACCTGAATCTGGATCCGGACGAATATCCGGCGGGTGGCGTCGAATACGTTTGCTCGTATTTGGGAGTATTGGACGGTTCGGGATAACTTATGGTCGTCTGAGGCTCGTACGAAGGAGTAGTGGAATCAGAGACAGCGTCCAAACCGTCCAAATAGGAATTAGGCTCTATAAGAGGTGTCGGGCTTGGATTGGGATCGTCTCTGTCTTTCGTGGGATCCAAGGTGTTATCCAACGTGTTCACCACCACCGATCCTATATGTGGCGCCGGGAAAGGGATTTTGGAATATCCTGCAGGAGGATCGAAGCTGAGCGGCGCCACGAAGAAAGGCAACTTATCGACCCTCCTCTCCACGCGATTGTGATCGATGGACGACAGGTAGGGAAGATCGAACTTGGCGTAACCCGGTGGGGGATCTAAACTGGTTGGGCCCACGAATACTTGAGGTGTATCCGGGCCAACCGTGTCCAAAACAGCTATCGTCTTCGCGTCCTTCAATATCCTCAACACGTCAGAAACTTTGACGTTGGTTGTCTTCGAGCTGGAACTTCCCATGTATACCGAGAGAGGAGGCTGATTAGGGGAAAGAGTTGTGCTAGCTTCTCTATAACTCTGCTGATCCTGGAAATTAGGCCTCTGCCTTTGCCTGCCTCTGATCTTACTTTTAACCTGTTTAGGCGTTTCCGACAATTGTTGTTGACGATGCAATTGCTGGCTTTGATTTCTGATCAAAGGAAGAGCCTGAGCTTGAACGTCTCGATTCTCGGCCTGCTCCACTCTGCCCTCGTTCTCACGCTCTCGTTGCTGTTGGATCTCCAGTTCCTTCTGCCTCTCCAGTTCCTTCTGCCTCTCCAGTTCCTTCTGCCTCTCCAATGCGGCCAATCTCTCGGCTTCCCTCTGCCTGCTCGCTTCCTCGGCTCGCCTTTTCTCTTCTTTCGCCCGGACCTCCGCCAATCTCCTTCTCTCCAGCTCTTCCAAACGTTGCTTCTCCCTCGCCTCTCGGATCCTCTCCAACTCCCGTTGCTTGGCCAACTCTTCCAACCTCTCCAACTCTTTCTTCTTCTTCTCCGCTTCCCGTTGCCTCTGCAACTCTTGCTCCCTCTGCAGTGCCTCCTGTTGAAGCCGCGCCTTTCGCTCCAACGCCCTTTGCTCCTCGTTCAATCTCGCGATCTCCTTCATCCGTTCCTCTTTCAAAAATTGGGCCTTCTCCTCCCGCTCCATCTGGATCTGTTGCAATATTTGACGGGCAAACGCGTTCTGGTCGTGTCCGATCGCGTCCACGCCTTGGCTCTGTTGCAGTTGTTGGGGTTGCTGGTGCTGACGCAGAGGGTGATACTGCTTCCTTCCACGCCCTCTCTTAGGCTGCCCTCGTTGCGCCAAAGTTTCCGCCGGCACGTAGACCAATTGCACCTGAAATAAAAAGGATATATTAGGACAAAATGAAATGAAGTGTTATAGGGTTGACAGTGTGAAATCGTATATTTTTTGTAGAAAAATTCTATGGTTGAATTCTATGATTGAGACATGCTAATTTTCATGACAATCAGCATCTTTACTTGAGAAAAATTATTATAATACTCGTTTCCTGAACAGCGAACTCGTGAGTGACATAATTCCTTGTTCTAAGAATTTTCCTTGGATTGGGAATGTCGTTCGTGAGATAAGAAGGGGAGGAAACCCCTAGAACTCTTGAACTTTGTAATCTCGAACGGAACTTTGCTCTTGATCGTTTTAAAATTTTATTAACAAACGAACTTTGTAATAAAGCAATTTTATTATTATATAGGAATGGATTGAAATTAACAATTACAGAATTACCTTTTTTAGCGAAAGATAAAAATTTTTGTTCGATTCTTCGTACAAAAAATTATATATTTAATAAAAAAAAATTTATATAATTATTAAATTTATTAAATTTATATAATTTTATATTAAATAACAAGTACAAACCTCTTCGTCCTCGTCTTGGTCACTCTCACTTTGAGACACCAAGCCGACTTGGCTTGATTCCTTTATCTGTTTCGCGCCTTGCTTTTGATTCCCCTCGATCTGTCCAACATTTCCTACGTTGGGCCTCTGTTGCAACAACTGCTCGTTCTTGAAATCCTGCCCCGACAAATTAGCCAATTCCTGAGGTAGACTCGTGTCCTGTTTCGTGGCTGGGTTGGGTGGTTGTTGAGGGAGGAAGTTCTGCGGCGGAAAAACCGACGGCAACGAGTCGGTTAAGGGGAGGGGTGGCACCAGATCTTCGGAAGCAAGATCCGCCACCTGCGAGTCCCCCAATCTGACTTGATGCAATTGCTTGTCCTCGTCCGCATTGCTGAACCCGCTTGGTACGAACGTTTGAGACTGAGGAAACAAAGACTTCTGTAAATTTCAGGAAAGACTCTTTGAAAAGAATACCGAAAAGATATAAATTAATATAATAAGAGGTTGAATGATTCTTTCATATTCGAGTTTTAATTTACGTTTAAAATAAAAAAATATTTTACCTGAAGAAGTTGCTGTTGAGCTCTAAGCTGTTGTTGCAATAGCAACAGCTTTTGTATATTTTCCTGAGTCTTCTGCAGCTGCAATAATTGCTCTTGATATTGTTGTTGAAGGGCTGGCGGTAGAGAGAGTTGAGGAAGTTGAGGCAGCTGCGCGCTCCCGCTCGCCAAACGTCCAGTAGACGGGCCGTTTTGCTCGACTTGAGTTTGCACCGCCCTAGGATTCGCCAATGGTATCCATTCGCTATTCGAGACCTGTCGCGACCATCTTTCGCCTCGTGTCGTGCCAAATTTCATCGATAAGATCAAACAGACCGATACCGTCAATGTAAGACGCCTGTGCACCGTCTGAAATCATAAAAATGTAATACACGTGTACGGGTATAATTTATTCTTTGGACCAGTCGAATGCAGAAGTTGGTTGGTATACATAAAATGTTGATCGAGTTACGAAACAATTTAAATTCGCGTTAGACGAAGCGGAAATAGAATGTAAATTCGCAGAGCGAAACTGTATTTTATCGTCTTACTTAGTCAATTGTTTGTAACTTAATTAAATAAACGAAATTAACGGAAATTTTGTTACAACAACTTTTGTTTGGAACTCTCTAAAATTATCCTACGAATATATCATTGGTTTTTTATTACTCTTCTCACTGTTGTGTATATTTGTAAGCATATACTGTTCACTGCTCGAAAAAAGTCTCGCGGGACGGCACAGGGGCAAGAGGGGTCTTTCGCTAGGACCGCCTATCTCCACTTCAAACGCTTTGTTGACAATTCTGACACCACACACTGCGTAGTAATATATTTAAAATCGTAAAAATTATTTTCATTTCATATTTTAGCTGAAATATTTTTGAAATTATTTGTAGTATGTCTAACTTATTCGTACAATTATTATCTTAACTGCTCGAAATTATATTTATAAATTAAACTATCCTTACAATTATCGTTACACATGTTTTAAAAAATAAAAAGAATTTTGTATTATATCGATACGTTAGAATTCTTTCAATTCTATGGCTACGCTAATGCATCGAGGTTTAGATACAGATCGTCGTTTTGGTTTAGTGTACGTGACAAATATCATGCTAGAGAACAAGACAAAAATGCTTGTGAAAATAGACGTTTTCTTCCAAATTAACCAATCAGACCAGCATTCTTTCCGCGACAATATTTAAGTGAATAATATTTAACTTTGATTAGAAAGGAAAAAGTCATACTTCAAAATTATTTTCCGTTCTCGATCCTTTCGATATTCGTTCGAGCAGTAATATAGCAAACGAATGTCAACGAACGATATGCGAATACAAGCGTTGGCCAAACACTTGTGAATGGTATTCCGCGCACGAACGGCCGTGAACGAGTAGTAACATCATTTGTCAGCATGCGCAGTATGATTGAATAGATTTCTGCACGCACGGGCGCGTAGTAAAGATTTCATGTGAAGCGTTTACGATGTTTAGACGTTACTTGTACTCTACTCTCTAGTTCAAGCTGTTGCATTTTTAATCCGCTTACCTCGTATTTTTTCCATTTTCACAATTCACGAATAATTAAAAAATAGATTATCGGAATATTTGTAATAATTCGAAAAATATATTATGGAAAGATGAGGTGAAAAAAAAGAATTTAGATAAATTATTTTCATTGAAAGAAAATAAAATTCGAGGCGGAATCTGATCGTTTTCGTTTCTCGTTTCATCTTTGATGGCAGCTAGAGATAGTGATCGTAAATTGGAATGATCGGAATTTTATGCTTGGATGAAAAGAGGGTAAAAAATATAACCGCAAGTCTTGGTGATCAGCAGGAACTCAAGAGACCGAAGTGTTTTATGACAAACAGTTAGCCACGATTCAATTGATATAACTATTAATAAAACCGCAAACAGGAGATAAAAGAAGAGGGAAAGAAAATACTTTCGCGATATTAATGGAATTTATATAATAATTCGAAGAGAAATTTTCTAATTACAAAAATTAAGAAAAAAAAAAATTTATCGAAACTTAAAATTATCGTTAACTTCGTGATCGATATATTCGAAATTCAGCATGGATAAAAATGGATTGTTTCGATAGAAAAAATGCAATTGCACTACTTTATTTATTAAAAAAATATTTTTTTTTCACAAAGTAGGACAACCGTAATTTTTATGATTGATGAGAAAGTTTAAATTTATTTTTTTTAGCGTATCTATAAAATGGAATAATAAAACTTTGTAACAAGAAATTCTTTCTCTTTATAAATATATTTGTTCCGTAATAATTTTTCGAATTTGAATATTTCGCGATTAATTAAATCTTTCGACGTGTATTTTCGAAGTTTTCAATTCAGGATTGTGCGAGGCGGACTACGTAGGAACTTTATCTAGGTCTGCAACAGTAAAATTAATCAGTGAATGTAGTCGTCCTTCTAACTGCGAACTCGAAAAGTACAAAACGTGGCATGCTCTATACTCGCATGTCGTGTGCGATCCGCGTTCTTATATGGAAAACGAATACGTTTAAATCTTCATCGAATGTTTTCAAATTTCGAATCGAAGTTGTCGAAAGAAGAATTTTTAATTATTCGACGATACACCAATATATACGCGTCTGTATTCACAAAATAAAATATAGAATCGAATAGGGAAAGACAAAGAAGTGTAAAAAACGAAATATAGATTTTTACTAATAAAAGGAGATTAAGGGTTTTGCGGGGTTAGGGAATGAAAAGAATCGATATTCAATTTCGGCAACGCAAACAGTTTGCACGTTTCCCTTTGTCGCAAGACGATTTGCGAATACGGGATTATACTGTCGCGATCTCTTTTTGATTTTCCACCAAACGTATTTTACGTGATTCGCATTTCCGTGTCGGAGAATCGTAACGTTCACGTAATGTTTGCGCAACTGTTCGTATTCAGTGTTCAATTTTTTCAAGTTTTTCTTTTTTTTTTTCGATCTCGAAAAATTATAAATTTGTAAATTAATGCGCACTTTTTAACGAATTAAGTTATGTTACATAAATATATTTTCCAACGCGATAATTTTTTAATGAACAATAATTATACAATCGTAAAACGATTGGCGATTTCGAAAAAAAAAGATTTCGAAAACATTCGTTCAAAGCTCGCGTTGCATATTCAACTAACGACTAAAGAATAATCATCATCGTCGTTGATATTATTATATTGCGTGTCGAGATATTCAGAGTGCAACTGCAGCTAACGAACTGTGAACAACTCTGAAAACGGATGGTTTCTAATAATTATCACAGTGTATCTTTCACTCGAGTTTTCGAAATGAGTGGAAACCCTCGGCGAGCAACATTTCGTCATTCGTCCTTTCCATTTTGCGATTAATATATATTATCATTTCTTCATTTTTCACTTTTCTTATTTTCTCAAATTATCTTACGTTATGGCATTCACTTATTAATCGTCCACGCTTCGAATAATAATTCTCTCAAAGTAAACGTGAAAATAATTTTTCCCATTGTAAATAATTCCTGTTTCGAATTACAATCTATTTAATGGACGAACAATTTGATGAAATAAAGGCCAATTTGGCGCTGCCTCCATAATCATAGAGAGTTTCATTTCTATTTTATGCTTAACAATACCGCATTGCTGAAACGGTGATTGCAACCGTGGTTGGAAAAAAATGGGGAGGGGAGGGGGAAATATCGTTCGGTTAAGTTCGTTTCGACACGAAGTTTATAATCAAAAGAGAGATTACGGATCTCGATCTATCTCAACGAGTCGCCGACTTTCTTCCGTTCGAAAAGAATCTTGCCGAAAGAACGTACTACTGACATCATTCTGATTACATTACATTGTACATTCTCATCGCGGAAGATCGCGTGCCGGACACGGGTCGTGGTCTTTCTGCTTTCTTCGTCATTCTCACAATGGAAACGGGGATTCACGGACTGTGAAATCCGATGTATACAGTAGGAGCGTGTATTTGCACACGTTCAAAATTTAAAAGGAAAAAATATATATTCGTCGTTATATATTTTGCGTTATTAATTATTATATTTCGTGTCGAGTAAAAATAGTAAATGAGAAAAATATTAAAATCGGTCAGATTTAAGTGTACGTTCATTTTATATTATTTTAACTCAATTTCTGTATTATATAGGGTGTTTCGAAGAGTATAATTGGAAAAGATAAATCGAAAATATAGGATTTTTCGTTTTCATTTTTTTTTTTCTTTTTTGAGAAAATGACTACGTCTATTATTTCGAAAATATTACGAACAAATTGTTGCTCGAAGCCAATGAATTTTCTTAATCGAATTCCTTGATCAAACATCCTTATAATTTTTTCTTTCAGATATTCTTTAACGCGATCCTATAAAAATAAATCCAAAGAATTTTCAAAGTTCATTTTCTCGAAATTAATTACGTAAAAATAGTTGAATTTGACCGATCATTTTTTAAATTAATATTATTAATTTATAAAATTAGAAGAAAAACACTGTGCAAATATTTTACACCGTGTATGTAGCAGAGAGGCCGATTCACAATTCACGTTGCGCAATGGCATTATGCGAATCGGATCCCCATGACGGCTTCCTGATCGAAATTTCGGTCATCGCACGACGAACGTCGTAAAATCGGTGCAGTTGGCATTATGCAAACGTTAAAAGTGACTTCTCGTGCGACTATTTCGAAGCAGTGGGCTGCGGTTATTTATTATAAATGTTTCCGAGTTTTCTTTTCTTGCGATAAAAGGAACGATTTAAGCCACAACAATTGTACTCTGTTCCGGAAAGGAACAGTATTACTGCTATAAGATATAGAAGCTTTCTCGTGTCGCGTGGGGGATCGCAGAATTTTTAAGCAAAAAAAAATAAATAAATAAATAAAATAAATAAAACTTTTGTTTTCAGATTTGTTAAAGAACGGATCGTTATACTCGAAATATTTTTTGCGTGGAAATCGGTTTTCGTTCGATACATTCGAAAGAAATTTCATTACAATTTCATAGCGTGAAATTCTCAAACATAAATAATCTAATGCCATGTTTTCAATCAACTTATTTTCACGCCCACGATCTAATCTAATTCGTTAAAATTCCTAAAAATCATTTTCGAGATATGAAATTGATATATCGTTGAACCTACGTATACGACAATATCATATATCACGTATACGAAACCTAACCTAGCAATGAAATCTTCAATGAATCTCGATCGTTCAATTTTCAATCGATCGACAACTTTGCGTGCTCTTTAACCAGATCAGAAGATCATCTTGGGAATACGATCCAACAATTTTCGAAACCAGTTTTCTAACAACGAATCTTCACGATCTACATAAGTAGCAAGCTTGTTTCTCTTTTTTCCAACAACAGTTTAAAAGACGCATCTGCACGCTTTCGTGGCTCCCTCTTACGAGAAATCGATCTCGTATGGGATCCGTATCTGAAAAAAAAAAAAAAAAAAAAAAAAAGAAAGAAAAAAAACTCTTCCTTTCACTATCGAAGAAAGCCGATACAAGCGCATACAAGATTCTACTTCCGACGATCTTTCCCTCGATTCATACGGGCGTTCCCTTGTTAACTGTGTACACAACTTTCTCTCTTCTTTCTTTTGACTATATATATATATATATATAATAATGTTCGATATACAGTCAAACCTATTTTTGCTCGGTACTTTGCTCATACGTTTTTGAGAATCTTATTTTCCAGTATTGTACATTTCTTTTCTTCTTTTAATAAAATTTAGACATCTTTTTAGAAAAATGGCTCAAGATATCGTTATATTATAAAAATGAAAAGATTAGATTTAATAATTCTTTTATTTATCACATTATTTCTATATTGTACGTTTCTTTTCTTCTTTTAATAAAATTTAGACATCTTTTTAGAAAAATGGCTCAAGATATCATTATATTATAAAAATGAAAAGATTAATTTAAGAAAAATTTAATAATTCTTTTATTTACCACATTATTTCAATATTCTACATTTCTTTTCCTTTTTAACAAAATTTAGACATCTTTTTAGAAAAATTAAGCTTAAGATTATAAAAATGAAAAGATTATTATATATATAGATTTAATAATTCTTTTATTTACCATATTATTTCAATATTCTACATTTCTTTTCCTTTTTAACAAAATTTAGACATCTTTTTAGAAAAATTAAGCTTATATTATAAAAATGAAAAGATTATTATATATATAGATTTAATAATTCCTTTATTTACCACATTATTTCAATATCGTACATTTCTTTTCCTTTTTAACAAAATTTAGATATCTTTTTAGAAAAATGGCTTGAGATGCTGTTATATTAAAAATTGTGAAAAGGTTAGGTTTAATAATTCTTTTTTTTTTTTTTTCTATGTAAAATGTTCATTAATCCATGAGATTTTCCTCGCGAGCAAATTAAAGTGCAGTTAAAGAAGATTATCAATCGAGGAGAGCCGACACCGATGCTGGAATCAGAAACGAGGTCGAGCCACCTTTCTCTCGGTCGCTTCTGCGAAGGCGCGGTCCACTGATTGATCTC